GCAAGGCAGGTGATAATAGCAGCCTGCAACAGTAAGAAGGTAGACTGAGGTAAAATGACGCTAATATCTCATCTGTTCGTCATTTCTAAGAGCAATTTTATCATGAAATTTCGGTTCTCGTCATTCTAAGGCCACCCACAATATGCAAACAACATGGTCAAATTTGCCGCTCATGCCAGGAAATAGAGGACATCATGTTTGTATTTACTTTTGTGACAGCGTATCTCGTTAGATATATTGAGCGACAAAAACCCTAACACCATTTTTCGGAGAAGGTAGTAACTTTCAATTATAAAAAACTACTCCCTCTGTCCCAAAACATAAGAACGTTTTTAACACTACACATTAGTGTCAAAAACGTTCTTATATCATAGGACGGAGGGAGTAACAACTAGGAAGATACCGTTAACTACAATATCATACAGTGGGCGCACCGAGTAAATTCCAGGATCAAATCACACTTGTAGGTCAAAGCATCTTCCTCATGACAAAACACAAACGGATCGAGCAGTGCGCAAGACCACATGCTCATTATCCCCTCACACTGACACACCCTACTATTCTAAAACCAAACCTAAGCTCATCACCACCGTCTCAAAACATCACCAATCAGTAGGCGTGGTACCGGCTATCCAAGTGCCATTCAGGGTGGCCCAGCGCAAACATTTTTTTGTGAAAATGCGAATGGCATGGCCCATTGAGTTTTTTTTCTTTCCTTCTCTATAAACATCACATGGTCCATTTCAGTTGGACCCCATGAATTAGAGTTGCGCCAGTGTGCGAATTAAGCGGGTTCGGCATCATAGTCTTGCAGGGCAGTGATGATGATAGCAGCCTACAGCAGTTCATAGCATTAAGAGCGGGACCATCATAAAACGGTGCTGCTAATATCTGCATCTTAACTCAAAAGTCATGACATTGCTCACCTTGAGTGGACTTAAACCCACCGAGTCTCGACGAATCAAAAGACCCGCGCATCGCGCCTTCCACTGTCGAGATCCGAGGGTAGGCAATCGGATAAGAAGATCTGTTTAGTTACAGTCTTACAGATGGTGCTTTGCATCTTCTTAACTTGCTTGCATCTTTTACAAGATGTTTTTTGAAATAACTTATAGTACAAGATGTCATTGTGCATAGATTATCAGTGTAGCCCCAGTGGCATGTGCCTGCTTCTTTGTTTGAAACTACAGTGCTGTGTGGCCTGGGCAGATTGTTCCGAGAAGAGTGAACCCAGCCAGCCATGTCCATGTGACCACACAGAGTTTTGAGTTTTCTGTGGGGGCTGGGCTCACTGAGACGAACGAAGATCAATGTGGGGACCTTGGAATCTTGAGAAAAATCTTCTCTCTAGGAGAACGCAGCGCAACGCAATGCAACAGTCAGAAAGGCCGGCATCCAATGCATCCATCCTCTGATTTGCCAAAGAGCACGTGACGCGACGGGCCTAATTAGACGGCTTTGTTTAATTACGTGGTGAGCATGCAGACACATATGGCTTCGCGGTGCTGCCGTCGAAATCAACATGGCGTTACGACTTTGTTCGCATCCAATGAATGCGGATGCCGGAGCATGTTCATGAACCGAAGTGGGCAAACGTTTCTGAAGAAAATGGTCCCGGGTTTGGAAAAATGCTGAAGAAGATCAACACCTAGAGATAAGAAGGAAAACATTGCACACTAGCACTGTATCATATACAAGTGTCTTCTGCTCTCAACTTATGCAGTGGGACACTCACGGCCTATTCCCAGATGCTCCTGTTTCCTGGCCTAGAAGAACTATCTCCGTCTCCGCAGATTATTGACAACACTGTCGATTCCAGCTTCCCCAGAATCCCAAGTTCCAACGTTATGACTTATGAAACCACTCTACATTTTTGAACCTTTGCCTTCTGGAGCCCTCTTAGCTTAGCTAGGTCAATGGTTTGCCATTAGCATGGCTATTTGTGTACAGTGTGACACCCAATCCTGATAAAAAAAAAGGTAAAGGTTTTGACAACCAGGCAAACTAATCTCCTAAAGCCACCATCACCATCATCAACGGGGCCATCCCAATGCTGTGCCACCACTACGAATTACTGTACTTGAAAATCGTCCCCTCTTGTGAACCCTACACAGGAAAAAAATGCACAGGGCACAGTGCAACAGCACATGTCACATGGAATGGAGGAGCTCCTCGCCGTGTTCTTGATGGCGCCATCAAAGGCCTTCAGTATCTCAGGGACTGCAGCGACACCAAGCCCCGTCACTCGAGGGGGTAGCATGTGCAGTCCACATGGAAGATGGAACACACCAAGGTATACTACTGCTAGCGTCCAGCGGAACAAGGCCCGCCATAATTTTTGACAAATGCTAAAGTCTAGGACGGACTTTCAAATGCTAAAGCACACAGCAAAGAGAATGTTGAAAAAGGGCGAACCAGAAAGCAACAACCATGAAATCAGAGTGAGGGAATTTAAAAGTAGACGCACCTTAGTGATGAAATTATTTGGCGACTGAAGACCGCCGTTTTACCTGACGAGAGTTGTCGGCATCCCCGCCATTTAATTGTTCTCCTTTTTTTGTGTGTGTAATGTGTTAGCCCTCAAAAGGTAACTAGTAGTAGTATCCTGAAGAAGAAAAGGCATACCTTCACTGAACCTGCTGAACAACAACAGAGGAGAGATCTCAGAATAAGTAGTGCTGGAAAAAAACATGCGGAAATTCGACATAGTTGTGATCCTTTACTTTCCTAATCTGAACAGAACTACTGCTAAATAAAGGCACACGGTTGAGATATACTCCCTCCGTTCCAAAATAGATGACTCAATTTTATACTAAGTTAGTACAAAGTTGAGTCATCTATTTTGGAACGGACGGAGTAATTGAGAATGACACCCCTAAAGTATTATAGGAATCATAGTTGTACCTGGCAATGTATCATGTGTGTCTGAAATAGCCTTTCCACATGTCATTACTCATGACATATGGAGTCGAGATATTTGGATTTTTGCCACTTTGTTCGTGGGGCTTCACAGATTTGCCACTCTGGAGATTTGATTCGCACAATTGCCACTTCAGTCGTTGCATCCTTGATTAGTATGCCATTAGCCCTGTTTTGATTGTTTTTTCACATTAACATGCTAGTGAAAAGACTAGCTTACCCCTATGGCTATCTGCATGAATGCATCTGGTTTACACGTACGTATATGGTTTGACCATGGACTCAGTTGGTACCAGTACCAGGCGTTGGCTTCGCCCTGAGATCGCGGCCGCCGCTCACCGTCGCCGCTCGCTCGCCGCAACCTCTTGGACCACCCCGGGCTCGCTAGTCGCCGGTTGCCTCTCCCACTCGGCCACTCCCTACTCGCCCTGTCCGTTTGCTGGTCGCGATGCTCGCCTACTCGCCGCTAGTGCCGACAGCTCGACGTCGCCGTCGCCGCTCACCACTGTCAGTCTCCGCCCGCTCTCCGTCGCCTCTTGTGCCACCCGCGCGCTCTGGTCGCTGGCTGCGCCTCCCGCTCCCTACTCGTGGATTGGCGGAACAAGAAGTGACTGAAGCTAATGGCAAGGTGCAGGAGATCCATTTTACAGTACCTAATTATTCAGAGCTTTGGCTGGGCATTTGTTCTTTTAGCAATTTTTGTGCTATAATCCCAAGTTATGGACAAGCTTTATTGGTACGAGGAAAGCAGGATCGACGTAAATTAGTGAGAACTTGCTGTACTTTTTGTATCAAGGAAAGAAATTATGTGGTTTGAAAGCTATTTTTTCAGTCATTTGGTACAAGCTATGACATTCAGGATGTGTAACAGAAGAGAGATCGATCACTGTACAATTTTGAACTGGAGATTAAACGAACAAAGCAAGGCAAAGGAAAACCATATTACTCTCCAAGCCGATCAGGTTCCATGCCGCCACTTCGATAGCGAACGATCCGCGGCGCACGACGTGCAGTCAATCAGCAGTGCAAGACATCCAGCCGGCAGCGCGCGGCGTCCACGTGATCGGCGACGCAAGACGCCGAGAAGAATCGCTCGAGCGCAGCGTCCAGGCAACTGGTCGTATGTCAGTTAGCTTATTATATCGACAGACAGCGCACGCTCTACGGTTCAAGTGCCGATTCGTTGCCAGATACTCCTACATACTTATAGATAGCCACAGGGGTAAGCTAGTCTTTTCACTAGCATACTAATGTGAAAAAATAATTAAAACAGGGCAAATGGCATACTAATCAAGGATGCAACGACTGAAGTGGCAATTGTGCGAATCGAATCTCCAGAGTGGCAAATCTGCGAAGCCCCACGAACAAAGTGGCAAAAATCCAAATATCTCTATGGAGTCAAGCTTGCTCTTTTGCTCAGGCGATGGTCGGAACTTTTAATGGAGAAACTGCTTGCTAACCAGATTGGAGACAGAACACACCTCAACCTTTTCTGTCTTAGCAGGCTAATGCAACATATAAAAAGCAACAGTTCAAATCTAAAATTGGTTGAAGAGACACTGAAGCCAGCAATTACTCAAACGAAATTCAGCTATTTGCCCTTATTTGATGCAGACATGCCCTATTTTGTTACTAAATACTACTCCAAATGCCAAAATAAGGGCAAATAATAAGACAGTTCTTCAAAACTGATCATGCAAAAAGGCCAATTCATTTGCATGTACGTACATGCATGCGCCACTTGGACTTAACTGAAGCACAAGAGAATCAGAGTTGCAAACTTTCTTCATCAAACCAACTCATTACAGACAAAACACAACTCTAAGCATGCCCCACCTCTACATCCAGCCCATACTTCCATACCATAGGTGAGGTCAACTATGTCTTAACTAAGGGGATACTTCATCGCAGCCTGAAGATCTCTGTGATAACAAAATATTTCTTCAAGAACAAAGAAAAAAAAATGCTTTTATCCTGAATAAAAGCATACAACTGAGAATTCATGGGTTCCATTTGAACTACAATGAACATATTACAATGGGGAGAAGAAAGATATTCAAACATTCCATTCAGGTCCGGTGTCATGCTGAAGTTGCAGCGGCATGGCTAGGCTCCAGCAGCAAGGAAGCCACCTTCTTTTTCTGTTTTTTCAGCCATCTTGCTATGCCACTTGACAAGATAATAATAAACAGAAGGTACACCAGCACACAACATACTACCACGAGGATGAATATTGAAGTCCTGAACTTTCTGCAACTTCCAGCTGCATAAGCTGTCATCAGAGCCGACAGGTCCAGTATCATGATGAAGTGCAATGCTTGGAGCGGAACCTTCTTCTGTCTCACAGATTTACTCAGCAGAAGCATGACTACGGCAATAGATGACATGAAAGAGATGGAATTGAAGACATAGAATACCATGTAGCGCCAGGAGTTTATGTCCTTAAGTACCGGGTTGCCAGCCTTGTAACCATTTTTGGGAGTGTCATCAGGCCAGAAGCCACCAGGCGGGTTTAGACCGGCTTGGTACGCAATGGATGCAGCAAGAACCGAAAGAAGCATCAAGTACTTCTGTCTCTTCTTTTCCGTCTCCTCACTGATAAGGGTGCCTGACCCCTGAGCATTACGTTCCTGTTTTCTTCATCTGAACTTTCCAGCGGTGTCTCAGAGTCAGGCTCTAGATGAAGAATCTTCCGCAACCGGCCCCTTAACCTGGTCAGTGGCCCATCTAATGCATCTTGTAGTACAAGTACTTGAATCACAAGGCATGTTAGAGCTGCAGAGGCTATGACAATAAGATATATTACCGGTCTCGCTTTCCTGCAGGTTCCTGCAGAATAAGCAATCAGGAGGCCCAGCAAACCCGCTACCAAGCACACACGGATTGCGTACGACTTGATTCCATCCTCACATGATTCCCTATTAACAAGAAGAATGATGACAGCCACAGATGACGCAAATGAGACGGCATTCGAGTAGTAGAAAACATCATAGCGCTCTGGGTGGCTGTCTTGAAGAACTGGATTGCCTGGTTTGCCACCCTTACTGTTCTCATCAGGCCAAATGCCTCCTGGAGGGTTCAGGCCAGCTTGGTACGTGACAGTTGCCGCCAGAATTGCAAGAATAAAGAGCAAATTCCGCCTCCGCGCCAAGTCCTTCTCCTTAGCATCTCTTGACTCATTGTCTGTCTGAGGTGGTGCAAACTTCATCCTCTGCGTAACACACACTTTCAACCATCCATTATGCCTAAACACTAAAACATGGAGAGGAACATATGCAACCACGATAAATATTGACACTGATATGTAAATGGATTTTGTCTTCTCCCTGCAACTCCCAACAGCAAAGGCCCCCATTAGAGCAAGCAAATCGGTTATCATTGCTGTCTGTAGTGCCCGTCGTTTTATAACCTTGTTGCTCATCCTCCTGCTCAGGAGCATAAGGATCATGACAAGGGAGGCTGCAAATGCAGTGGCATTGAAATAAAAGAAGGCAAGGTATCTCTTATGATAATTGTCCTCAAGAATGGGATCACCAGCAGAGTGCTTAGTGCCACTTGATGTCCAGACGCGACCACTGTCCCCAAGAATGGGATCACCAGCAGAGTGCTTAGTGACATTTGATGTCCAGAAGCCACCTGGTGGATTTAAACCAGCTTGATATGTCAAAGACACTGCAAGAATTGCAAGAAGCAATAGGTAAGTGCGTGACTTCTTCAGAAAAGCATCATCTGGATTTCTTTTTTTTTTGCGGGGGAGCATCATCTGGATTTCGATAGCTGCATTTAATACATCTCTGATGCTGTGGGGCTTGATCATTGGTAGTGTTGTCGATAGGTAATCTAACCTCACCATCATCTGCACCAGTAGGGTTATTGGACATTTGCTGAGCATGCTGTTCTGTGCTGTCCACATGGCTGTCGGGTAATTCACATTCCATTGCCAGATCATCAGCATCTATTCTCAGGTTACCAGATGTTGCATCTTCGTCCACCGAGCCCTGCAACGGTAAAATACCTTGGACAGAATTTCCACCGTTACTTGATGATAGTGCCATGGGGATTGCAACCTGCTGACCGCTAGCAGGTTGTATTTCCAAGTTGTCGGATGGAACTTCCTCGGTAGTTAGGGCATCTGTTGATGATGAGCATACAACTTTAATTGCAGCATGTTCACTCTGATCATGAGATTGACGTAGTGTTGTTGGCATGATGTCCTCCATGTTATCCAAATCACTGGCTGATACAGATCTCACATCCCCAGTTGATACAAGATTGCTGTCAGCAGAGTAGCATTGCAAATTAGACATGACACCTTCTACTTCTGTATCTCGACCTACATGCTCTGTAGCTTGCTGGTGAGTTGTCGGAGAATCAAGCTCTGTATCTTGCTGGGGAACCCTTTGAGAATCAAGTTCTGTATGTTGCTGCTGACTTGTCTGAGAGTCAAGCTCTGTATCTTGTTGGTGAATCCTCTGAGAATCAAGATCTGTATCTTGCTGGTGAGTTCTCTGAGAAACAAGCTCTGTATCTTGATGGTGCGTTCTCTGACAATCTGTACATTGCTGGTGAGCTCTTGGAGAATCATCTTGCCCCAATGACAGTGTACTCATCATTTTGTCAAGTGTTGGCTTCAGCACCCTATCCACCCACTCTGTTACAGCTTTGCAATGAAGGCAAATAACAAGAATCAGAACACAGATTAGAACCACAGCAATTATGAGTATCACTGACAACGATGTTGCAACATCCCTGCAGCTCCCTGAAGCATAAGCACCAATGAGCCCCAGCAGAACAGCCACGACACACACAGACAGCGCTTGAGTCCTTATCCCATGCGTGCTCAGTTCCGTGCTCAGAAGCAGTATGACTGTGACCAAAGACGCCACAAAAGAGGTCGCATTGCAACACGTGAAGATATTGAAGCGGAGGAGATTGTGCTTGCGGAGAACAAAAGTAGCTGCACGGTGTTCAGGATTATTTGCACCCCAAAAGCCACCAGGTGGACTTATCCCAGCTTGGTATGTGACAGTAGCAGCAAAAGTTGCAAGCATCAATATGAACTTGCGAGCCTCCTCGATTTCCCTTGCGTAATCTCGGTTGCTCCTTTGCCCGTCAGGATCAGAGACAGGGCAAATAGATGGCACCTTTTTTAGCATGCGTTTCAGCTTCTTCAGAATGAGATCCCGGGTTTTCTGCACCTGATCTTTTAACGGCTGCGGAACTGCCCTCATAAACAACAGGATATGAACCACAACATAGGCGAAAACAGAACAGACCAGCACCAATATGTAAACGGAAGACCTTAGTGCTCTGCAACTCCCCGCGGCATATGCCCCCATGAGACTGAAAAGATCCAGTATCATGGTAAACTGCATGGAGCGAAGCCAGACATGCTTGCTCGCCACTCCCCTACTCAGGAGCAAGATAATCAAGACTAGAGAAGCAGCAAAGGCTGTGGCGTTGCAGTAAAAGAAGGCTTCGTATCGCCGGAAGAATCTAAGTGGGAGGAGAGGATCACCGGCATGGCGGTCAAGTCTGTCCATCTGAAATCCCCCCGGCGGGCTCAACCCAGCATTGTAAGTGACACCAACGGCCAACACCGCCAGAAGTAGCAGATACTTCCGCAGCCTCCACAAGAACTCGAAATCATCCTTGATGCTGGATCCATGGCGTGCTGACCTGTTGGGCGGACCTTGCCCATTGTTGTCGCCGGCCGCCTCGATATCCTCCGTCACTCCGCCGGCGGCTGCTTCATCTGCCATCTGGCCATTGCCTGGCCCCGAAGCAGCCATGCCGTTCATCGGTATGGTGGCCGGCTCAGGCTGCTCGCTGTTCGCCGTGTGAGCGCTCCCCAGCTGAGGATGCATGTGTGAGCCGCCCTCAATCATGGCATGAGCTTTGAGCTTGTACCCAGATCAGGGTAACTGGTAAGATTAACTGCAAGCGGAGAAATGGCAGAAAATTGGCGCTGGAACTTATGTATCCATGTCGAAGAGCCGAGCAGAGGAAGAGAGAGTAAGGATCATACCTAAGAATGGGGAAGCTTCGCAATGCTCAGTTGCTCACACGGAATGCCTGCCCCGTTAGCCTAGCTGAGCTTGCGGCCTTGAGCTTGTATCCAGAGCGACGGCTGCTGCTCAGACTAGTGAGGGTCACCTTGTGCGCTTCAAGGACAGCCGAGTTCAATAATGGTGTGAACGGTGTGTGAAGAGTGAACAAAAGATGGGGGGAGACCGGCGAAGTCAGTTAAACAAAGGAAAGAAACAAGGTAAGGCCCCACAGCTATGTATATGATACTCGCATCCAGATTGAGGGGATGTGATATATGCATATATGATCTCTTCAGGACCACTTTGGAGTTAGAAGAGAGCCTAATACACCAAACAATAATGAACAAATTAACACGCATCTCAACTGTAAAATACTCCGGCATCGAGTTGGGTTGCTGGGTAATTTGGGTTGGAACACATGAATAAGCAGGAATTAGCCAGTAGGGTACCTGGTACCAGGAGGCAGTGAAATGGAATCTGTAGACAGCGACGGTAAGCGGAGAGGGTGTGTTGACTGCTGACTGGCACACGACCACCACACACACCGTGGGTTCACACCGGCGTTCAGAAGCCACCTTGACAGGAACGTCCTACCGTGCCATCCACTCGGCTCCGGCGAAGTCACCTCCGACCTCCTCGGCGCCTCGAGCGTCGCCGTCGTTTGACATTTTCGCTCCGGCGTGCAAACCACCGTTCCGTGGAGCGGCCATCGCCGCTCGTGACTTGGTCTTGGCTCTTCTCCGGCCATTAACTGCCGTGCCGTAGTTAGGTACTGGCCGCTGAGGCATTTGTTCGAACAACAGACGGGCACTGCTGGGGGGAGCAGAGCCGGGCGGGCCAGCCGCAGCCAGGGCCTATTTCCTCGTTCCGCGCCTTATCCTGCCAGACCTAGAGACAGCAGCAGCAGCAGCAGCGTGCATTGATCCCGTCGACGGGCGCTCGGGGCCCCCGTCGACGACGACAGGGGCGTTCCAACCCGCTCTGGCCATCCATCCCCCCTGGATCGCCGGGCTGCTCGACCAGTCATTTTGTATGCTAGCAGACGTCACCAGAAAATTAGGGAATGACGTCACGTAAACAGGTTCTCATAGGCTCCATCCACCAAGTTTAACTCTTGCCATCTCGATCATCCTTCTACCTGCAATTTTATTGGTCCATCTGTACACTACGTAAAACATTGTAAGTAGTCCTACGTAAAACAATGCATATCCAACCAACAATGTGCATATTCGGCAAAATGACCAACACAACAATGCATAGCCGGCCAAATAACCAACACAACAATGTATATCCGACCAACATATTGCGTATTTGGCCAAATGATTTAGACAACAATGCATATCCGGCCAAGTGACCCAACACAACAATGTGCATATCCGTCCAAATGATCTAGAGAACAATGCATATCTAGCCAAATGATGAATACACTTGCTCGGAGATTTGCGCACCACTTGGCCACCGTGTGATGAGTTGCCTCGAGTGGCCGCAATACTCCGACATGGCCTCTTGGA